TCATAACTGGACCAATGGTAATATGATAAATAGAATAAATTGCAGTGGGCAAAGATTACCTCTTTCTTGTATCCATGGTCAATGCTCATGGAAGTAGCAGTCAGGATATCAAAGAACATATTGCATTGGGCATCTGATGTACAAAACCTGTTTAAAGTGTTAAAGAATAAGGATGTTGCTTTGAGGATTGAAGTGTGCCTGACCCAAGTCATAGTATGTGTAATAATCTCATTCATGTGAAAGTTGCACAATGAATAAGGAAAACTGAAGAAAATAATGATGCATTTTCATTACGGTGCTAGCAACGAATATTGAAAGTGCCACAGATTGTCAGAAGAACAAACATCTGTCTTGGGAGAAGTACAGTCAGAATGCTCCGTGGGAGTGAGGATGGTGAGATTTATCTCACATACTTTGGGCATGTTATCAGGAGACACCAGTCCCTGGAAAAGGACATCATGCTTGGTAAAGTGGAGGGGCAGCGAAAAATGGGAAGGCCCTGGACAAGATAGATGGATGCAGTGTCTGCAACAGTGGACTCAAATATAACAATTGTGAGGTTGTTGTAGGACCGGGCAGCATTTTGTTCTGTTGTGCAGTGAGTCGATATGAATCAGAACCAAGACCACAGGAATTTAGTCCAGTCATGGAACAAATTGCAGTTCTCTATCTCGTCCCTTGGGGACATAGTTGTCTTGCACCTAGGGACTCCACCAAGTGGCCAAAAGACAAAAATGCATATAGTATAGTTCAGTTCTACAGTCTCTTTCAGCTCTGCAAGATGCTTATTCCAGGAAAGTCTCCTAAGTGTTAGAGCGACCGGGGTGGCCATATGTTTACACCTCCTGCCTGAGATCTACTCCCCATCATGTGCTCCCTGAGTAGAAAGATGAACTCAGATATCTACAATGTTTGAATTATATTGTTGGGTTTTTTAAAATCATTTTATTGGGGGCTCCTACAGCTCCTACAGCTCTTATCACAATCCATACATACAGTCATTGCCATACAGCTCTTTAAACTTCAGGAAAATTGGTCCCCTTTTATCTCTCCTCTAGTCCCTGTGAATCAAGTTCCTGGATATCAGTGGTCAGATACATTCCATCTCTCTATTGCTGTATTTATCTCATGTCTACTCTAGAAGTGAATCCAGGAGGTCACCTCGCAAGCATTTTAGGCTTCCCACAAGCTCCCTTTAATTTTCAGTCTTGGGGTTGGGGTGAGGCTCAAGGAAGGATCAGGTGGTAGTCCTCTGAGGGATCTAGACTTTTCTATTTTAGGTGCATTCACAAGCAAAGTACTTGCTCAATATTCAAAAAGCCAAAGTCACATGCCCCCCCACCCCCAGACTCCCAACTGTTCTAGATGCAGGTCTTTTCAAATTCAAATGGCCTGGCATTCAAGGCAATGGGTGGGGCTTGTATTTTCTAAGGCTTCTACCTTGGCTTCAAACAAAAAGCCATTTCCACCAGGCAATTCCTAATGTCTCTTTTAACAGATCTGATTGTAAAAAGTTGAGGGGGTGGGGCCAAGGTGTATGGTAGTTACATAATCTGTTGTCAATTTGAGAGGATTAAGATTGAAGGGGTGGAGTCTAGCCTGGCAATCAGGTCATAGTTTGATGACCTCATTTAGAGGTGCTAAGGAGATCAATAGCTTGCTGGAGGGGGCACACAGGCTCAATCCCTGTGAGACGTTCTTGTTGACAAGCCACATGGAGACAGGCTGATGACAGCCAGAGCCTGGGAGCTGGAGAAGCCATGTGGAGACCTCTGCCAGGGCTGAGATGCTTACACTGCCACTGGATCCATAAGACTTTTTACCCACTGGCCTGTGATCTTCCTGCATTCAGCATCATTGCATGTGTTTTGTGAGTCTGAAGTGGAATTTATAGATTGGTATCAGACATATGAGTTAATACTGGACTTACAGACTTGAACTGGACTGGCCTGGGATTTTTTTTCTCAATATTCAATTGCTCTTGTATATAAAGCTCTTTCTTATATACATGAGTGTCTATGAATTTGTTTCTCTAGTCTACCCAGACTAATACAGGAGGCTTACAAACTCTAAGACTGACTTCCAGTTTTCATTTCTATCACACTGTAAGTAGGAGAAAACAATATAATCCTAGTACAGCCAGATTCTAAACAAAATTCTTTTCAAAACCCTCAAATTCAGTCCTTTCTTAACTAAACTATCCCATGCTATGCAATATGCCCTTAGTCTTTGATAGCAGAATCAAACCAGAGGTCTGGCCTTCTATCCAATTATATTGTTCTATACAGAGGAAGTGCAGAGTTGCTTGTGTGTTAAACACATATAAAATTCAATACTACTGTATGATCAACTTTTATTTGGAACTTTGCATGTGTGAAATGCATGAGAGTTTTAAATTTGTTTCCCTCAAAGTTAGTCCCTTTAAGAATAAGGTAGAATAACTGAGAGTCCCCCTGAAAATCAGGTTTTTCCTGGGGAAAATGGAGGAGAAATCTCCAACTTTGCTCACAAAGGGGGACTCAAGGGGGAAATGCTGGAGAAGAAAGAGATGAAGGATGAAAAAAACAAAAACAAAACAAGACCAGAATGCATGCGGAAGGTGTTTGATGGACATAACTCTGTTTCTGAAATCTCTTTACTTCTTACCCTACTCTGAGGCTTGGGACGCTTCCCTAATTCCTGAAGAGTGACTTTAACCCTATTTTCTATAGACCACCAGAGATAGCTCAATCCACCACATGAGCCATTCGCAGAAGCGGCCAGAGCTGCCCCCACTGCCTGCTTCCACAAATGAGGCACCGTCTGAACTCTATCAGGTATGTGTATCTGGCTGCCACTCTCCTAATAAGGGTGGCAAATAAAGGACACCATTCTGCCACTCCAGCTGTTCAGTGGTTACAACCGGTGGAGCAAACAGTTAGACTTGAGAAGTGGGCTTGGGGGCTTTGGTAATCTCAGCCACTGGAAGAGGTCTGGGAGAAAGAGGAGTTAGCATCTGGCCTTCCCCCCTTGCTTGCTGTATGATGTAAACTCTGAGCTTTTGTACCTTCCTTTGTAAAATGAGGGGAATTATTATCTACCGTAGAGTCTTCCCTTTAAGGGATCGAGTCCTTGGTCAGTGCAAACAAGTCACGCCCAGCTACTTAGCAAAAAGTTGGCCACTCCAGTCCATCCCTGGGTGCCTTGAAAGAAAAATCTGGCGGTCTCGTTCCCCAAACTCAGCTGTTGAGAAATCCGTGAAGAGTGCTCTTATACTCGGACACACACGGGATCACCATGACTGAGAATTGACTTTCGAGTAACTGGGTTTTCCGTGTAAGGAATAAAGGTAATGGACATAAATGATCTAACTGAGGAACTTATTCTATTGAATACTGGCCAACTGAAATCAATAGTCAGAGAAATATAACTGAGACCCACTCAGAAAGTATTCTCGTGGTAGAAACACTGTGTAAGGCATAGGGAACTCGAGTTTCACTATAAGCAGGACCCAGACCCCACTGTGGAGGCCAGGCTCCTTGAGGGAAGTCTCATCATGTCTCCTCTACGTGTCTTTCTTTGTAGACTGTCATGTCACACAGCTTTTATCCCCCCCTGATGCAACGTACGTCGTGGACTCTGGCTGCCCCCTTCAAAGAGCAGCATCACCACCGTGGGCCCAGTGACTCCATTGCCAACAACTACTCCTTGATGGCCCAGGACCTGAAGCTGAAGAACTTGCCAACCTTCTATCAGCCAGTTGCCCTCAATATCCCTAGGGAAAGGGGTCTTCACAGGCTGTTAACAGGTATTTGAAAACAGAATGAAATTTATGGTCCTAGATTCTAATAGCAGCTCTACCTCTTATTGTGGTTGACTTTGAATAGGCTTATAAAGTCTTAGTCTCTCTATCTGTGAAATGGGAATGACTACAATGGCTAACATCTATGAACCATTTATCATCTACTGGCATACCTGGGTGGCACAAACAGTGAAGTACTCAACTGCTAACCAAAAGGTTGGCGGTTTGAATCCACTCAGAGGCACTTTGGAAGAAAGATCTGGAGGTTTCCTGCAAGTATAGCCAGGATGTTTCCTAGAAAGAATGATGGCGATATTGTCTTACGTGCTTTGGACATGTTATCAGAACAGACCAGCTTCTGAAAAAGAACATCAAGCCTGATAAAGTAGAGGGTTCACAAAAACAGAAGACTCTCAATAAGATGGATTGACACAGTGGCTCAAGGCTGGCAGTGACTGTGAGAATGATGCCAAACGGGGCAGGAGTTGTATTGTATGTGGGATCATTATGAATCATAATTGACTGAATGCTACCTAATCTCAATAACAAGAAAACATCTTAGCAAGTAGCAGCATCTATCTAAAATGTATAATTTTATACAACTGATTGAACTAATTTTTCCAATGACCTTCTATTGATTGTTAATTGGTTTTTAATTAGAAATAGTTATGTCTGTAAATGTTGTTATGTTGTAAATGAAACTGATTTTTTTTTGGCTTGTGATAGTGATAAAAACGTATTTAAAATCAACATATTAAGTTTTATAAGTCTACATCTACTTAAAGAAAATATTAAATAATAATACAAATGATGTTAGCAAATAGAGCCCACAGCATGAGTGGGTGAATTGAGTGTGCCATATTTGTCAAATGGAGAGGTCGAAGGCGTACCCATCCCATTTCACAGTTGGGAAAGCTGTCACTTTGTCAAGGTCACGCAGTTCAATCTGATACAGGTGAGCCCAGAGCCCAGCCAGCCAGCCTCATCCCACTGTGCTGTGTTGTGTCCACCCAAAAGCCTTAGTGTGCTTCTGGGCTGCCCTAAGGGGTCACAGCCATATGGTCAGAAGATGCCTCAACCCACTGTGTCCTCATTGATGTCTTTCCTCTCTACTCTTCAAACTCCTAAAATTTCCGTAGAGCCCCACAAGAAGAAGATGAAGTTTTCCTTCAAAGAGAAAGAAGAAGCCACCAGGTAAAGTGTTGCTCTGGGCATGGGGAATGTGTGGCTGCACCAGCACAAGGCTGTAATTTCCTGAAATATGTCCTCCATCATTCCCAGTGCTATTTCCAGACTCCACAGCACACCCAGATATGCAGTGACTCGTGTTTTTTTCCCCATCATCCCTTAATCCAGATTTAATTTTTTATTTATTCCCTATCAAAAATGATAAAACTATGAAGTCTAGGCACTGTCTCAAAGTCAGGATTATAAAGATAAACAAGACAAAAAGAAGAGAACAGTAGGAAAGATGGGAACATAGAGAGATAGATAATAGATACATTTTTTTTCCTGAATGCCAGCCAATACTGGGTTATGACAAGTTGCTCACTGAACATTTACAGTGTCCTCAGTGGGTAGAGCAAAAGCTCAGTAAATCCAATGCTTTCAAACTGAGTACAGCTCATGGGGACCCTGGGGTTTCCAAGACTGCAGTCCTGTAGAGAAGCTGGTGGGTTTGAATCCCTCAACTTTTGATTAGCAGCAAGCACTTAACCAGTGCACCACCAGGTCTCAGAGCTAGGTGGCGCCACAGCATCTCCATATGGGAACTTGTTAGAAATGCTGATTCTTGGGGCCCACCACTGACCTACTGGACCCAAAGCTGTAGTGATGGGGCCCCCAAATAGTCCAGCGTTGTGGAATCACAAGTATTGAAGTCAAGAGCATGAAAGATGTCGATCTGAATCTAAAGTCCACACTCCCAACCTTGTGCGACACATGTAAAAATATTTTGGGAAACCAGCTATTTTGTTCTGCAGTGTTCCTTAATTGGGGCTTATGATAGTGATAAA